GTTCCGCCATGCTATTCGTAGGAGGGGGTAAACTGTGGCTACGGTAGTTAGTAAGTTGGAAATTGCTCCTTCGGACTGTGGTGATTGCAAGACGATCGAACTTTGCTACTCACTAACTGAGGAATGCCTGAGCTACGAGTTCTGGTTTGGGATGGCTTCGGGTCATTTTTTGAGGCACGTTTGCAAATATATTGCTTCACCTGACGTAGGTAAAAGACCTACGATGTCCACATGCCCGCGGTAAAGAAGTGCGCGAGGTGCCGTAGGCAAAAATATTGCTGGGTGTTATTCTGTATACCTTGAAGTGTTGAAACTGAAGGCAATAACGAATCCATGGGCGAACGTCACGATGGACGTGTCGCCAGACGAAAGGGGAAGCAAAAAGTTTGATGGTGGTGAGGATAACTGGATGTGAGATACAATGCATCTGTTCGGAAACGAATCGTCGAATACTTTGGGGCCGGGCTTGACTGTCGTCGCAGCTGACTGGGTGTTCTGAACCTGGAACAAATACTTGTTCGATGTGAAGGGGGCTGTTGCGACGCAATAGCTCTGTTCCTAAGTCGGTACTTCGCGCGTTACCAACATCANATCATCATCAGCGTACAGCGAAATACAGTGAAGCGAACTTCACTGACCGCTGCCAAACTCACAATGCATACAGATTCAGTGGTAAAATTTAAGGTGGACAGGGGTTCGATCGATTTTGAGGGAGGGCGAAGAAGATGAGCCACTATGGTCATCACAGAGTACGCAATCGAACTCAGCATACATACCGTTTCAAGAATTCTGACCTGATAAGAAATGACAACAAGAACGCCACTGTTGTGGGTTCGCTGCCATATCGTTCAATGTCTCCAACTAACCAGTTGTAGTCTTTCAGACCCCAACCTGGAAGGCGAGAGACACCTACTCTACCTGATGGCTCTGTGCATTTCTTCGTGACTCACCTCCACGTGGTTTCCTTCAGCCCGGATTAGCTACAGCGAATAAAGCGCGGTGCGGCAGACGATGACTGGGCATACGCAATACGTGCCCTAGCCAGCGAAGGCTACTAATCTAAACTCGGTGTGCCAACGAGTTTATACCTGAGAGACTTCCAAATACACGACGGCTTACCTCCACGTTACTAACCCGTGCACTCCATCCAACGTGGGCTAAACTACTTAAACACCGATAATCGAAAACTCCCAGTCGACGGATATCTTCTCGCAAATTCTAGGTCTCAACCATAAAGCAGGACTGAACGAACGATAGCACAATATACACAACCTTGCAACTTAAATGAAATGTCACGTCTACGCCAAAGGTGTTTCAGTCCTGCGTATGCTGCTTGAGCCTTGGAAATGCGGGCGATTATCTCCTTTTCTGCACTACCGTCATTGGTCACGCAACTACCTAAGAAGGAGAGCAATCCACCATAACTAATTCCCGGCCATTAAGTTTTAGAGCGGGAGTAGGTGAAACCCAGTCCTGCAGCATCACTTTGTATTTTGAAGGTGCAAAGCACATACCAAACGTGACTGCTACACTTGTTAATCAAGCGCGCTTTGCGCGTCCTCCATACATTTGAACAGACAGACGATGTCATCAGAGTGCTCTAAATCGCATAGCTTTTCTCCACCTGCCCATTATGTACCTACGTTTTGGAGTCCCCTTAGTGCGCTCTCCAGTATTTCGTCTACGACGAAAGTGAACAGGAACGGCGAAAGAGGGCACCCTTGACGAACGCCGCTACCGGTGACGAACAGTCTACTTAGTTCGTTCTTGACCCTTACACGATCGGTGGTCTGTGGGTACACTGACCTCAGTAGGTTAACATACTTCTGGGGCATTCCTTTTCGAAGAAGGCAACCTATCAGAGCTTCGCGGTCAATTGAGCCGAGGGCTCCTTTCAGGTCAAGGAACACTGCGACGGTGAGTATGACGCAGCTCAAGGACCTGACGCAACGTAAAAATTTGATCAATACATTCACGACCAGGCCGGAATCCGGCTTGCTGTTCACGGATGTTGGTCTCTCTTAAAGGCGTCAGACGTCAAAGTATAACCGAAGTTAGCACTTTGGTGATAATCGGGATCAAACTGACCCCGCGGTGGTTTTCGCACTCGGTGCGAGATCCTTTCTTGAAAATGGGAACGATCAGTGATTCGCCCCAATATGAAGGAATGTGTTTTAGCGTCCAAATGTTGCGCAGTAGGGTAGTAATACAGCTTACGAGGTTGTCACACACACATCTTGAAAAGAGTGGGAGGGAGCTCATCAGATTCTGCTACCTTTCCTCGCTTCAGAGCTTGAATGCAAGACCGAGCTTCTGCTCTGCTGGAAGATCGCATGACACTGCCCACGGCACTTCAGTTGCAGATGAAGCAGCCTGGTTAGCACTAGGCCAGCTGAAATGCTCGACGCCCAGTCAGCCCAATGACCACTGCCGTAACTGGGAAGGTTTGAGTGTGTATGGTTCATGCGCCTCTTCTTGGTTAGTTAAAAAATCACAGTTTTCATTCAACTACCGGGGGTGAACTGTTAGTGGCTCACCAACCCGGTTATAGCCCCGGCGATGAGACCACTGTTGTTTGTTGTGGATGTCCTGTTTACTTATTTGCTAATGGTTCCACGCGTCCGTATGTGACTACCTGCGTTGTCACTCATTCTTATTCTTAACTGGGGAGTCATCATCATCATCATTGTACAGCAAAATACAATGACGCCAGGATTTATAAAGAAAGTAGACAAGTCTCATTATATTGGGCGGCTACGTCTCCCCTGGCGAACGAATCTTAATGGACTTTCGGCGCACACAAAAGGCCCGACTGCCTTTTGGCAACTCAAATCACCTTTGGCAGCCACCGAAACATTTGATGGTCCGCCATTAATTGAATGTATGCTGCAACTGTCCCTCCAATGGT